CCCGTTGTGGTCTTTTTATATAATCCAAAAAGTCTTTTTCTGGAGTATTAATTAACTTCTTACGTGCATTAACTAGTTTTTTTTTACGCTACTATACGAGCATGATCGTGTTTAGTGGTTTTTAATGAGTTTCCAAAAGATTAAAAACAATTAAATAATCTATAAAATATTTAGAACCCTAATAAAAAGATTATAATTTTGAGATTTAGAATCCCAAATTTTAGAGATTTAGAACCTCAAAAACAATTTATAATAAAAAAATCACTTAAAACCCCAAATTAATAAACTACCATTGATTATGCTCTAACTAAGCGCGTCTGTGTCTCCTACTTAACAAACTACTTAACTTGAAATATCAGCTTAAAAGCCCCAACCATCAAACCAAAGAATCTATAAAGAAAAAAAAAATGGATGATCTTGAATCAGATATTCCTGGATTAGAGGATCTTGGATTAGAAATTCCTGGATTACAAGATCTTGAATTAAACACAGACGACTGTGTTGGAGGAATCTGTTATTGCTACTTGTTTAGCAATATCATCGCAGTTGGTTTCACCTGTCTCATGTTATGGCTAAGTTTCCGTCGAATGCGTCCCCGCCATCCCAGCTGCTCGATCGAATACTTTTACGTGCCTGCTCTCAACAAATCTCTCGATTCACATCTCAACACCACTATCAACTTCATGGTACGTCTTGATAATCCAAACAAAGACAAAGGAATCTACTACGACGATGTCTACCTTTCTTTGTCCAGCCCCTACACAGCCACCAATTCCTCTGCTCTTGTCGCTAACTACACAGTGCCTCAATTCTACCAAGGATTCAAGAAGAAAGCCAAGAAATGGGGTCAGACTCTGCCATTGAACAGCCATACGCTTTTACAAACGGTTTTGCCTAGTGGATTGGCGGTTTTCAGGGTGGATCTAAAGACAAAGGTGAGATTCAAGATTGTTTTCTTTAAAACTAAAAGATTTAGAGTTGAGGTTAGTGCTGATGTTGAAGTCAATGGAGATGGAGTTAAAGCTAATAATGTAGGGGTTAAGATGCTGAACCCTGATTCTTCTTCTCCTTCACTAGGAAGCTATTTTCCGGTTTGTTTTGATGAATTTGCTTGCCTTTTTCGCGATTTGTTAAATTGGCTTGATGATTTTCATTTGCTTTTTGGTTTGTTCATTTTATTCACTCTTTCATGAGTTTTGCTGTGTGTGTGTGTTAGTTCCCATTTTCTTCTTTCTTTCATTATGGTTTCTGAATTCGACCAAGTAATCATTGAATAATTTAATGTATTCCATTATTGTTTTGTTTCAACTATGTATGTATACGTAATACTTTCTCTATCAACAAAATTCTATTTGCAAAATCAATTAGCCTTTTTCTCAATAAACTTTTTTGTTTCTAACCCTATACAAGTCTTTGTATATGTGTCCAATCTTCTGGTATAACTCCAGCAGCTACTGTGTTGAAATCCCACATATTGCGCATTCAATATGGATTAAGATCA